AAGGCAATCCAGAAATGAGAATGATCGAGGACACCCTGAAGTGGCTCATGAGGAAGAAACACCACCTGGAGATTGAATCCCTAGAGAAGAAATACAAATATATAAAACAACATGAATTTGAAAATGCCAACAAGCCCGGCAAGTGGATGGTGAGGAAAATAAGGAAAAAGAAACAATCGCAGCGAATAATTAATATCAAAAAAGGAGACAGACTTCTGACCACGGATAAAGATATCATTGAGGACTTTCAAGAATATTTCACATCCTTATACAACAGAGATGATACGAAAGAAACCGAAATAACAGGCTTTTTAGCTAATTGGATAAAATTGGATAAAATCTCAGAGGCGCACAGAGAGGCTCTCAACAGAGAAATTTCGAATCATGAGATATCGGAAGCAATTTCCAACCTGCCCACAAACAAGGCGCCGGGCCCAGACGGTTTCTCCGCTTGTTTTTACAAAACAATGAAAGAGGAACTCCTCCCATTACTTCACAAAATCTTGAACTTAGCACTTACTACGGGAAAGATCCCGACCTCCCGGAAGGAGGCAGAAATAGTGCTCATCAAGAAAGGAAATACGGACGGGACGGAAAAACAGAACTATAGACCGATATCTCTCTTGAACTTTGACTATAAAATATTTGCTGCTATCCTAGCGACAAGGTTGAAAGGCTTCCTGGCAGATTGGATCGGCGAGGATCAAGCGGGATTTCTCCCAGACAGAAATACCAAAGACAATCTGAGGGTAATCATTGACACCATCGAGTATTATGATATTAATACTCAGAAAGAACTGGCTTTGTTGTCCCTTGATGCGGAGAAAGCCTTCGGCAACCTCAGCTGGAAATTCCTCAAACTTCTTTTAGAGGAGATAGACATCGGTTTTTCCTTTAGAAACGCTATAGCCGCCATCTACTCAGATCAATCGGCAAGACTCCTGATAAATTCTCAACCCTCGGGGAATATCTGGATTTCGAAAGGAACCAGACAGGGATGTCCTCTTTCCCCCCTGCTTTTCATCATGGCCCTAGAACCCTTTTTAAAAACAATCAGAGAGGACTCTAACATCAAAGGAATGAAGATAGGAACACAAGAATATAAGATCAGGGCGTACGCCGACGACGTCATCTGCACCATCGAAGACCCCATCAACAACATACAGAAATGGTTAGCCATAATAGAAGATTTTGGTAAAGTATCTGGATTTAGAATAAACAAAGGCAAGACATATATATTAACAAAGAACATGGACCGGGGTAAACAGAGTGAATTGGAAAACTTAACGGGTCTGGAGGTTAGTAAAAAAATAAAATACTTAGGCATTTGGCTCACGGCTAGCAACGCCAAACTGTTCAAAAACAACTACGAGCCGGCCTGGAAGAAGATCCAGGCCGACTTAGCAAATTGGAAATTTCTGAATCTATCCCTGTTGGGAAAAATTGGATTAATTAAAATGAGCATCCTGCCAAGACTCCTATATCTCTTTCAAAATCTGCCAATCATAAGAAACAACAAAGTCTACGATAAGTGGAACAAAGACCTCTCAAAATTTGTCTGGAACGGGAAAAAACCGAGAATGAAACATCGAATAATGGTGGACAGTAAGGAAAGAGGGGGCTTTGGCCTTCCTAGCTTAAAAAGCTACTCTGAAGCTTGCGCCCTAATCTGGGTAAAGGACTGGGTCACACTTAAAAATGAAAAAACCCTAACATTAGAGGGGTTTAATTTAAGAGTGGGCTGGCACGCGTACCTATGGTACGGCAGGTCTAAACTCGAGGGTAATTTTGGGAATCATTTTGTTAGATCCAGCCTCCTCAAAACTTGGAACAAATATAGGAAGTACTTTTACGTTAAAACCCCTATGTGGCTGTCCCCAATTGAGGCGAAACAAAGACGCCTGTTAGGCTGGCAGCACTGGCCCACCTACAAAGACCTGCTGGTTAGAGACAATGACAAAAATTCATGGGTCTTGAATTCTCAGGAAAAATTAACTCGAAAGTTTAAAAACCTCACGTGGCTGCAATACTTCCAGCTCCGAGAGACCTTCAAGCAAGACCAGAAGATCGGTTTCGAAGAAAAAGAATCAACCTGGGATGTAGTGTTGAAATCGGATAGGAAGTCTATAACCAAGCTCTACAACCAGTTATTAAAATGGGAGACAGAAACAGAAGAAATCAAAAATTGCATGACCCTCTGGGCCAAAAACATAGGGCGTCCAATAAGGTTACATGAATGGCAATCAATCTGGAAGAGAAAGCTAAAATACACTTATTCCGCAGCATTAAAAGAGAATTGGCTAAAAACATTCCATAGATGGTATCTAACACCATACAAGCTACATCAAATGTATAAGAATCTTAAGAACTCCTGCTGGAAATGCAAAGAGCAGCCAGGCACCTACTTCCACATGTGGTGGTCCTGTGTAGAAGCAAAAAAATTCTGGCAAGGAATACAGGAAGAAGCACAAAAAATTCTCAAGAGGAAATTCCCAAGAAAACCGGAGTACTTCTTATTAGGGCTGACGGACGATGATTTTCCGCTTAGCCCTAATGAAGATGTCTTGTGGATGTACCTTTCTACTGCAGCCCGTATAGTCATCGCTAGACACTGGAAAGATGATCGGATACCTGACTTGGAAGAATGGTTAGTCAAAATTTCAGAGCTAAGAGATATGGACAAATTAACCTTTCTGTTGAAATCCAGTTCTGGTAGACCAATCAAGCAGACAGATTGGTCCAACTTTGACGAATATGAAAAAAAGAAATATGAATCTTAACGGATCTGGAGCAAACTAGAAGAGACACGGGTAATCTGTAAGAATAAACAGCGAGGTGCAAGACAAGCCAGGAGACGAATCGTGAACTCCTGGAAAGTAGCATTGGACACTCTTGACGGAAACTAAATGGAAGTCACTGTCTGCTTGGCGGACGACGAGCAAAGACTCTTGTCTATTGTCGTTGTTCGTCTTCTAACCCACCCATCCCCTTCATCCCCTTTCTCTGCCCCCTCCCCTCCTCTTTACCCTCCCTGCCCCCTCTTTTCCCTACCCCCTCCCCCACAACCTCTTTTTGTATATCTGTTTTTGGTATTTGTGTATTTTTATATATATATAAAACTAATAAAAAAAACCTTATTGAAAGGATAAAAATTATGTCACATCTGTTTGGCAAATGTTAATCTCCATAAACATAGAGACCATCTTTTGAAAACCACTAGTCAAGAAAAGAACTCTTTGACCAAATGTTATTCACAAGCATCAATGTAATGGCACACAGGTAACTCAGCTGTTAAACTGATGAACCATGTCTTTAAATTGCTAAGGATGAAGACATGCCAGTACAAATATATATTGGATTTGCAGAGGGTGGTTGTTTCTTTGAAGTTGCCCATCTACTCTCCCTTAAAAACCTCTTGTTTAAAACATGCATTCAAGAGACAAAACAAAGTAGTCTTCTTCAAAAAATAACATCAAGTTTACTAACAAACTTCTTGTATCTATTCAGCATACTAGTCCATAGTCCAATGTCTTTAAGCATATAGATATAGTCCAAGCTGTAGAACCATGTTCACTGAAGTCTGAAAGGAAACACACTACACCCACCTCCACTGAGGTCTAAATACATACTATATACAAAATGGAGAGCTGTGTCTGAAGCCCCTCCCACAGCAAAATGATACAATCAAACTGGCAAACCAAAATGTACATACAATAAGGTAAAGGTAAAGGTTTTCCCCTGATCAAAGCAGACATTGTGGGTTTTTCTGTCTTGATAAAAGATAAAGGGTTTCTCCTGACATGAAGTCCAGTCATGCCCGACTCCGGGACATGGTGCTCATCTCCATTTCTAAGTCAAGGAGCCAGCGTTGTCGTAGACACTTCCAAGGTTATGTGGCCGGCATGACTGCATGGAGTGCTGTTATCTTCCCGCCGGAGGGGTACCTATTGATCTACTCACATTTGCATGTTTTGGCCTGCATCAATAGGAGCATAGTGTCTAGATCTAGGGAAGTCATGCTACCCCTCTATTCTGCCTTGGTTAGACCACATCTGGAATATTGTGTCAAATTCTGGGCACCACAATTGAAGAGAGATATTGACAAGGTGGAATGTGTCCAGAGGAGGGTGACTAAAATTATCAAGGGTCTGGAGAACAAGCCCTATGAAGGGCGGCTTAAAGAGCTGGGCATGTTTAGCCTGAAGAAGAGAAGGCTGAGAGGAGATATGATAGCCATGTATAAATATGTGAGAGGAAGTCACAGGGAGGAGGGAGCAAGCTTGTTTTCTGCTTCCCTGGAGACTAGGACACAGAATACTTCAAACTACAAGAGAGGAGATTCCATCTGAACACGAGGAAGAACTTCCTGACTGTGAGAGCTGTTCAGCAGTGGAACTCTCTGCCTTGGAGTGTGGTGGAGGCTCCTTCTTTGGAAGCTTTTAAACAGAGGCTGGATGGCCATCTGTCAGGGGTGCTTTGAATGTAATATTCCTGCCTTTGGCAGGGGGTTGGACTGGATGACCCATGAGGTCTATTCCAACTCTAGGATTCGAACTGCTAGGTTGGCAGAAGCTGGGGCTGATAGCAGAAGCTAACGCCGCCTCCTAGATTTGAACCTGCAACCTTTTGGTCAACAAGCTCAGCAGCTCAATGGTTTAAACCCACAGTGCCACCAGGGTTCCCTCTATTATGGGATAGAGGGCTGTGTGGAAGGGCCTTCAGATAACCCAGTTCAAAGCAGACATTGTGGGATTTTCTGCCTTGATATTCTGGGATATGGGGCTGTGTGGAAGGGCCCTGAGGAAGCCAGTCCCTATGATTCCGCAGCATTGGGCCTTCTGAAAAGGGAAGGGATTTCAGGAGGGGAAGGGATTCTCCTTCAGTGAGGCAGGGAGGAGGGGAAACAGAGCCGGGTCCTCTGGGTTCAGGCTTCAAACTGGTTCCTGCTCCGCTTCGGCTTGGGCTGGGTCCCACACTTCCCTGAACATGTTGCAACTGGCCTCCCCGCCCCTGCCTTGCCCTGCCTTGCCCACAACGCCAGAGAGAAAGAGAGAGAGAAAGAGAAACACACAGAGAGAAAGAGAGCCGGGCAGGAAATACCTGCCAAGAGGGAGCCCTGTCTCAACTTGAAGCGGGGCTCATTCCTCTCTCTCTCCCTGGCTCTCTCTCATCCGAAACGCACAGCCTTGCTTCCCTGTTCCTGCGCCTTTTCCTGCGGAGACCCCTGGACCCCCAAGTAAGTGGTTCTGATGGAGGAGGAAAGGAGAAGCCCTTCTCTCAATGCTATATAGAAGCATTGACTGCCTATCTCAGTGAGTCTCAACGAAATGCAACTCTCAAGATTCCATAGCATGGAGCCAAGGCCAAGGGGTGGCCATCCAACTGCATTCATGCTGCAGTGTAGATGCGCCCAAAGTTGTGGCTTTGTTTGCCCTTTCATTCATTTGTTACCTAGAGAAGGAAGGCAGGCATCCAGGGAAAAGGGGGGCAGCAAGAAAAGAACAGGGGTTGTGATTGGAAGGGTTTGGAAAGAAAGGGATCAAGGGCAGAGAATAGCAGTTAAGGCTTCCTGCACCTATTATTATTATTATTATTGTTGTTGTTATTATTATTATACACAGCATGTCACAGCAGACGAGATCTATATGCTGGATTTCATATCAAAATCACAAGTCGAATACTTCCCAAGTGTCTAGGACTGTGTCATGTATTTTCGAATGATGCGCGCAGATCCAAGTAAAGTGACCTTTTGCAGTTGACAGATCGTGATTTTGTCAATGTTTATTGTTTCCAAATGCCAGCTGAGATCTTTTGGCATGGCTCCCAGGGTGCCGATGACTGCTGGGACCACTTGTACTGGTTTATGCCAGAGTCTTTGCATTTTGAGGTCTTGATAATAACGGCTGAGTTTTTCCTGTTGTTTTTCCTCAATGCAACTGTCACCCAGTATGGCGACATCAATAATCCAAACTTTTTTCTTTTCTTTTCTATTATTATTATTATTATTATTATTATTATTATTATTTAATACATAACAAGATTAGTACACAGCAAATCAAATCACTATGCTGGCTTTTCTATTTGATCACACATTGGACACTTCCCAAGTGTCTAGGACTGTATGATGTATTGGCGAATAATGTGTGCAGATCCAAGTAGGTTGGCCTTTTGCAGCCAAGAGATGGGAATTTTGTTTTTAAGTACAGGCCAAGGCTTTTAGGCACTGCACCTAGTATGCCAACCACTGAGACCACCTTGAATGGCTTGTGCCAGAGTCTTTGCAGTTCAATCTATAAATCGTCATACTGTGTCAGCTTTTCCAGTTGTTTCTCTTCAATCCTGCTGTCGCCTGGGATAGCAACATCGACGATCCATACTTTGTTTTTTAACACAATTGTGATATCAGGAGTATTGTGCTCCAAAATTCAGTCTGTCTGAATACGGAAGTCGCAGATCCCACCAATTCTTTGGTGCATTATTATTATTATTATTATTATTATTATTATTATTATTATTATTATTATTATTGCCCACCTCTTCCCCAGATTGGAACTCAGAGTGGCTCACAACTAAAATACATAGTTAAAAATCCACAAGCTATCTGCTCTTATATTCCATTGTGTAACACAGTTTTTGTTCCTGGCTTACTAATGTCATTTCCTAATTGGTTCCATCATGAAAACATGAGGAAAAAGTTCATTCAACTGTAAAAACTTTGTTTTTTGTGGGACATCATGCAGCCTATTTTTGCTATAGTTTCTCAATGGCAGCCACAAAAAAAACCTGACGTTTCTGGAGTATAACAACAACAAGAAGAAGACTTTATTACGGTCCATGAACAGCACAGAGAATAACAACTACTTCCAGTACCACACAGTTAAATGGGAAATAACACTTTCAAACCAGGAGCAGATTTTTTCCCCCCAAATTTAGTTACATAGTCTTATTATTATAATCATCATAATCATTGTTATTATTGCCCACCTTGTCCCCAGATTGGAGCTCAGAGTGCTTATAAAAATACATTGTTAAAAATCCACAAGCTACCAAACCTGGTGGCTACTGCAATTATTATTATTATTATTATTATTATTATTATTATTATTTCTGGCCACTGCTCTTCTTCTTCTCCTACTTCTACTACTACTACTACTACTACTACTACTTTCTCTACTGGGATTCAGAATGATTTACAACAACTACAAAAGTCATTGTTAAAATCCACAAGAAACCAGACCTGATAATGGTGGCTGCTGTTGTTGTTACTTTACTTTCTTGGGCTGAGATTCAAATGGATTAAGACACTTTTAAAAATGATTGAAAAAAATCCATAAGCTGATCTCCCTGCTGGCCTTGCACACAATGTTGGTTGTTGTTGTTGTTGTTGTTGTTGTTGTTATTTTTCTTATTATTTCCCACCTTTCCTCCAGATTGGAACTCAGTGGTTTACAAACACAAAAAAATTGTCCACAAGCAACAATCTAGCGGTGGTAGCAGCTGCTATTGTGATTATGTTGGTGGTGATAATTTTTATCCTGTTTTCCTTGAGAGCAGTTTGCAACAATTGAAAAGACATCGTTCAAAATTCACAAACTACCAAATTTGGTGCTACTGCTGTGATGATGATGATTTTCTATTCTGTTTTCTCCTGGGCTGGGATTCAAAATGTCTTACTATTACAAAGATAATCTATCAATTTGGTGGTGGCAGCAGAGCCAGATTAAGACCTTTGGTGGAGGCCTTTCACATTCAAGAGATTGTGCTGCCCCCCCCCCCCCCAACCCATATATCACCAATTCAAAATAAAATTTAAGATAAACATTTCATTTTTTGAAATGAAACAAAATGGAAACTAGGATGGAAAACAATGTTTCTGGAACATGGCCATACAGCCTGGAAAACTCACAACAACTCAATGTTTATTTTTGTATACTTCCACTCAGTTTGGTTTGGAAAGTTTTCTCCCGTTTTTTTTTATAATTGCAAAGCCTTATATTGTGGGGGATTCTTTTTGTGGAACCTGGTTAGATGCACCATTTAAAGTTTTGTAATATATGACTGCTGGTAAATCCTGTAATGGAAATTTTCTGTGGTGCCCCTTTCCCCTTGATGCCTTAAGAACAATCTTATTTTGCTCATTGGTTAATCAAATCCCTGGGGGCTGCTGTTATCATGATTGTATTTTCGACCCAGTTTTCCTCCACATTGGGATTTATACCAGTTTATAACTATTTAAAAGTCATTGTTAAGTATCTGCAAACTGACGAAGGTGAAATATCATTGTGTGTGTACGTGAGTTGACTTATGATGACTCCATGCATTTAATTGGGCTTTCCTAGGCAAGGAGTACTCAGAGGTGGTTTTGCCAGTTCTTTCTTATGAAATATAACGGTGTCCCATCTAAGTTTAATTCAGGACTGATGCTGGTGTGAGAGAATTGGCAATCTGCAAAGACGTTGCCCAGGGGATGCCTGGATGTTTTACCTTCCTGTGGGAGGCTTCTCTCATGTCCCCATGTGAGAAGCTGGAGCTGACAGACAGGAGCTCACCCCGCTCCCTGGATTCAAACTGCCAACGTTTTGGTACACGGGTTTAACCCAGTGTTTCTCAACTTCCCTTATGCCGTGACCCCTTAATACATTTCCTCATGTTGTGGTGACCCCCAACCATAAAATTATTTTCATTGCTACTTCATAACTGTAATGTTGCTACTGTTATTGTTATGTAAATATCTGATATGCAGGGTGTATTTTCATTCACTGGACCCAATATGTCCAAATCTGAACAATGGTGTAGTTGTGGGATGTATTGATGTTGTCATTTGGGAGTTGTAGTTGCTGGGATTTATAGTTCACCTACAATCAAAGAGCATTCTGAACTCCACCAATGATGGAATTGAACCAAACTTGGCACACAGAACTCCCATGACCAACAGAAAATACTGGAAGGGTTTGGTGGGCATTGACCTTGAGTTTTGGAGTTGTAGTTCACCTACACCCAGAGAACTGTAGACTCAAACAATGAAAGATCTGGACCAAACTTGGCACCAATACTCAATATGCCCAAATGTGAACACTGGTGGAGTTTGGGGGAAATAGACCTTGACATTTGGGAGTTGTAGTTTCTGGGATGTATAGTTCACATACAATCAAAGAGCATTTTGAACCCCACCAACATTAGAATTGGGCCAAACTTCCCACACAAAACTCCCCTGAACAACAGAAAATACTGTGTTTTCTGATGGTCTTTGGCGACCCCTCTGACACCCCTTCACGGCCCCCCCAGGGGTCCCGACTCCCAGGTTGAGAAACACTGGTTTAACCCTTTGTGCCACTGGGGGCACCTTTAAACCTATGTATATTATTTATTTATTTATTTCTTGCACTTATAGACCGCCACTCTCAGCCCTGAGGCGACTCGTGGCGGTGTACAACAACATAGAAAAGACGGCTTACAATAAATCAACAATACACAACATTCTACTACTACATAACACTACTATACTAAAAATCCGCTTCGTCGTATCATAGGGTCACAATCCGTCTCATAATCGCAGTCCATTCCGGTCGTCAATTCCAGTAACATAGCACTCAATTGAAGGCCATCTCGAAGAGCCATGTTTTCAGGCCCTTACGAAAGGCCATAAGGGAAGGCGCCTGTCTAAATGTCTATATGTATACCTTCAAATTGTCTGTCAGTTTATAGTGGGCCCATGAATCTCACAGGTTTTTTTAAGGCAAGGAATACTCCAGGGTTGTTTATCCACAATATAGCCCGAGGCACTTGGTATTCAGTGGTGGTCTCCTATTCAAGTACTAACAATAAGAGTCAACCCTACTTAGTTTCCAAAATCACATAATTTATTATTATTGGGTTGTTGTAGGTTTTTCGGGCTATTTGACCATGTTCTAGAAGCATTCTCTCCTGATGTTTCGCTTGCATCTATGGCAAGCATCCTCAGAGATTGTAAGGTGAGGTAGGGATAGAGGAAGAGAAGTAGCATCCAGTGATATAACCCAGAATATCAAGGCAGAAAATCCCACAATAGCTGTTTTGAACTGGGTTATCTGAGTCCACACTGCTATAAATTTCAGTTCAAAGCAGATATTGTGGGATTTCATTCAGCTGTGTGGAAAGGGCCACAGTATATGGTTTTAATGGGACCAAGTGAGAAAACAAGGCATTTTCAAGCCCAAATTAGACAGGAGAAAAGGTTTCCACACAACAGGGAAAGAC